GGGTCATAGTCTCAGTGGTTCTATCAGGCTCTATCAGACCAGCAAACCTGGTCCCCCTCCCCCTTTTTTTTTCCAAATGATTTCGAGTTTTGTTCCACATTTTTCTCTCTATCCAGGATTCCCTACATAGATTCCCCTCCAAGTGGTTGACAGTCGTAGCGGGCACCATCTTGTTGTTCTGGTCTCATAGTCGTATAGGCTGTGGAGAGAGCCCCTTGCTTTTAACACTGCTTGCAGTCCCTGCTGTGCTCTAGCCCACCCTTGTGCTCAACTGTTTGTGTTGTGTCCTTGTGTCATTTGTCTGTGAGACCAGAGACCCTGTCCTTTCCCTTGGAAGTGGACAGAGTAGAAATTGGTCCATGGGGGTAGCTGGTACAAACGTACAGACAGGTTCAGGGCTGGTGAAGGACTTTAAGAAGCCAGATCATGGGAGCTGGGAGGGAGGGACCCTGCAAATGGCTCTCCAGAGGTTCCTAGATGCTGGCCCTTGCTCGTGCCCTGTGCATTCCCATGCAACTTTTCTGCTTATTTGTAAAATGAAGGGAATACAGAGGCAATGTTGTGAGTTGAATATGGGCTAAATTGATTTCCTTTTGAAATTCTGAGATAGACACTTCCTACTTCTATGAAATGTCCTTTTCTGAACTCATGGCACTAGTCAGTGGTAATTGTTTTAAAAGTCTTGGCAAAATAAAAACTTGGCAGCCCTATACCAGCCCCCCTCCCATTTTGGCAGGGTATGTTTCTTGTCCACGTTACCCCCAAAGTCTGGGAACTACTGACCTAATTTGCCCTTTCACTGCATACATATGGGATCTGTGGCCCTGGAACGTGCCTGATTTGCTTAGGGTCACAGACATGAGTGAGTTGGCCTACTTTTGGTCAGAGAATGGGGTGGAGGAACAGTGGAGAAGAACTAGAAGAGGAAGCCAAAAGGAAGGGAAGCCCTCAACAGTGCCAGCTAGGAGGAGGGATCCAGCTTCCGCCAAGTGGAGGCAGGGGCAAACCTGGAGCATGGTAATGAGGTCCCAAGTGAGAAAGTGGCTGGGGCAGCCAGACCCATGGTCCCTAGGGCTGCCCTCAGCCACAGGATGACGTGGACCCTGATTCCAAACCAACCCTACTATCTCCTCAGCCATCTGGAAACTTTAGCCCCTGTGGTCCTCAGTTTCTCACCTGTAAAATCACAGTAATAGTGACTGTGGGTTAATGGGATAATGTAGTGCTTGCCACCATCAATGTTTTACCCAAAGCAATGGAATGACCAAACTTCCTGAACCCAGTGAGGGCAGCCACAATGGAATATGGTTTCTCACACTCTGTCACAGTTAATGTGGAGGAACTTGAACCTGGAAGGAATCATATTCTGCCTCATACTCACAATCATACCTGTTGCTTACTGAGAGCTGACATGTTGAGAGCCCAGTGTTCAGTGTTCCTGTGGATCATCCCCACTGAGGGGTCGGTACTCAAGGAGGTGGGTAATATTGTGCCCGCTTCACAGCTAGTGAGTGCTGGACTGAGATCCAAACCCAGATTGCTTTATAGTCATTCAAGTTCTTGTCATCCCCCTATTCTACTTTAAGTAATAGTTTAATAGTAACTACCTCATGGGGCTGGAGCTCTGGTAGCATAGTGCCTAAGGCACTTGACTGCTAACCAGAAGGCTGGTGGTTCAAACCCACCAGCCACTCCTCGGAAGGAAGGTTGGGCAATCTACTTCCGTAGTGATACCACCTCAGAAACCCAAGGAGGGGTCGCTGTGAGTTGGGTCCGACTTGATGGCACATCACACCACCACCACCACCACCACCTCTTGGGGCTACTGGGAGATTCAGAGAGATGATAGGGTAAGGTGGTGAGCAGTCTCCATTCCTGGAAGCTACTATCAGTCCCCTGTGACGCAGCTCATCTCGTTCTGATAGGACTCATTGACGCTCTCCAAGCATCTGATGGGAAGGTGGGCCAAGGATCAAAACTCCCATTTTACAGATGAGGGAACAGGTGGGAGGGTAAATGATCTCCTAAGCATCGTACAGTCACTTTCTGACCAGAGCAGAGACTAATAATAAAGACAACAGCTATTTATTGAACATTTAGTATATTCCAAGAGTCATACAATTCACCTTTCCTTTGATTCTCATATATGGCCCAGGAAGTAGCTACAATTATCCCCATTTGGCTGATGAGACAATAGAGATATGGAAAGGTGAGTTAATTGGCTAAGGATCACATTAAGAAGTTAATGATGGAATCAGGTAGCCTGTCCTTGGAACTCACAGCTTCATGGATCCTGGAGCCAGGATGTCCTGGGGAGAGGTACGGGTCCCTGCACCCATAATCCATAATTTAGTCCTCTAGAGAAGACCCACCTCAAGCTGCTGAGAAACTTCCTCCCCACAAGGAGGCCTGGACAGAGCCACCTCTTAGGGTCGACAGGGAGCCTGGGCAAACACTGGAGCCCCCGCCCTACCCAGCCAAGCCCAGCCACCCAGCAGCAAAGGAGGAAGAGGGCAATGGGCCTATGTGCTGGTGAGTTCTGCCTGCTAACCTCTTCCCTCAGCACTACCTTCTCACCTCTGTAGGAGTTTCTCTGTGACCAGAAGTACAGCGATGAAGAGAACCTGCCAGAAAAGCTTGCCGCCTTCAAAGGTAAGCTAGGGCTGGTTGTCCTGCCATCCCGGGAGAGCTGGGCCGATCTCTCAGCCCCTTGTGCACCTAATTCCTTAGGCTTACAGGGCCAGACTATGGCTGTTTATCTAGAACGTCCCTCTTCCTGGCCTCTGCAGGCTCCCTTGCCCCTCAGCCTGCAGACCCTGGCTTGCCCCTCTCTCCCCTGGCTGCCTGGTGGAGCTCAGGTTGACTATTGCCCAGGCTCTGCCGGCTCCCAGGGCCCCAGCACACAATCAGCCCTTTGTGAGCTGCTATTGCCTCTCCCCCTTTGCAGTGGAGCCCCTGTGGAGAATGGACATTTGTGTGTCACTACAGTGGGGCAGGGGGGCAGAGTTTCTGCCCATTGAATCCCAGCAGCACAGGATGAAAAGAAAACAGGGCCTGGGAGCCCGCGTGGGGAGAGGGGCGGCATAAAGGTCCCTCTGTTTCAGCCCTGGCTCTTGGTTCCCAGCCAGGGGCTTGATAGGAGAGGAGCCATGCACATAAGCGGTGGAGGCAGGCCTACCTTTCCTGGCTGGGCCAGGCATGTGGGGCTCTGGAGTCCTGGACTCACTGGAAGTTGCAGCTCCCCCTCCCCAGCATCTTGGCAATGTAGGCATCCTCCCTGCTCCAAGACAAGGAACTGGCCAAGTGTTCCTCAAGCAGCTTCCTGCTTGGTTGGACAGCAGGACACCTACACCTAACACTACTAATTACAGCTGGCATCTGGTGAGTGCCGACCACATGGAAGCACATGTTACGTGCTGCATTGCTAATTCCCTGAATTACTGCAGTCCACCCTGGAGGGAAATTGTACCATTGCTGATTTATAGCTGGAGGAACAGAGGCTTCAAAAGGGCATGTCATTTGCCTGAGGTCCCACAGTTCATTCATGACAAAGTTGAGACTTGAACCCATATCAGTCTGATTCCAAAGTCCCTACTCTTAACCTGTGTGCTGTGATGCTTTTTACATTACAAAAAAAAACAAAAAACAAAAAAAAACAGAGAGAGAGTAAGAAATAGAAAAAAGACACCCCACCCAGTCACCTGTAGAGCCATGCAAAGGAATAGCAGCCTATTCCCTTCTGTCTGGATACCAACAGGGTCACTCTCCAGAGGTGGCTTTGGAAATAGGGATGGAGTCACAGGGGCCTAACATCCACTCTCCCTGACATCATTGGGATGTAGGATGGGGCCAGTAGGAAGTTACCGTGGAAGGAAAAGGACTATTGTTTTGTGCCATCAAGTCAGTTTCAATTCATAGCAACCCCATATGATAGAATAGAACTGCCCCATAGGGTTTCCTAAGCTATAATCTCTACGGGAGCAAATCGCCAGGTTTTCTCTATGGAGCCACTGGTAGGTTCGAATCACTGACCTTGCCATTAGCAGCCAAGCGCTTAACCATTGTGCCACCAGGGCTCCTTGAAAGGGACTGTTGAAGTCTTCAGATCATTCACTCATTTGATCTCCACCATGTTTTACTGAACACTTACTATGCACTCCATTCCAGGCCTGGGGAGACTGCACTGAATATGCAAGAAGGTCCTGGCCCAAAGGCGCCTGCTGTTCTAGTGGGGAAGGTGGATAGTGAACAGAGAGCAGGGAACATAAAGTACGTCAGATGGTAGTAGGCCCTGGCAAGATGTGAACGTAGGCAGGAAGGGCAGGGTGGGGGGTAGGGATGCCCACTTACAAAGGGTGGGAGCGGGGCTTGAAGGCATTGGGAGGGGCCCTGAGAATATTGAAGAGCATTCCAGGTGGAGCGGCAGTAGTTGGAAAGCCCAGAGCTTGAGTAGGTGCAGAGTGTGCCAGCAACAGAAAGGCTGGTGGGAGTGGAATTGAGGGGGCAGTGGGAGAGGCAGATGCTGGTGAAGATCACATGGGGCCCCCAGGACACTATAAGGACTTTCTTATGCTGGCTGCTGGGTGCAGAATGAACAGTGAGTCCCCTCACCCCACCCCTTCTGTGGAATGGGAGACCGACCTGCCTGAGGCCACATGGTCATTTGCACATACACTGTCCCAATTAGAAGATACCGAGCTCCTTGCTCTGTGTTGAAAAGGCTGTTTCCTGGACCGCTTGTTCAGGAATTTTTAACTCAAAGACTATAGATGGAGTTTGTGTGGAAGATTCTGCGTACCCTTGTAAGCATCATTTGTGGGCAAGGGCAGGCCCATGGGCATTTCAAGAGGTTGAATTCTCAGTAGTGTCCATAACAACCTAAAAGGTTCAAAGCCGCGGTGACTTCTGAAAGTGGTGCTTCCCACACCTGGCTGCTCAGCAAGAAAACTGAAAACACATCAATCCCAGCCCCGTCTGCCCATGCCCATCCCAAACTCACTGCAGCTGGCTCTCCAGGGCTGGGAAGCTGAGTCCCTTCCCGGCTGATTCATATGCAGCCTGCACTAGGTTGAAGTCAGCCTTATTCTCTGCCCCCCTTTCCCTCATGGTGCCATTGCAGAGGGGTACAGACAGGGCGAGATTTTTCTCCAGAGACATTGACTGAGATGAAAGGACTCATGTCAAGACCCCCATCCCTTGTGGGGTGAGGATGATGGCTCAGGCTCCCCAAGGACCCTGCTCCCAGTCACCCTCTGGGTCCCTGCAGGTAGTGATCCTGCTCCAAAGCTAACACTAGTTTTCGCTCTGTGATTTCCAGAGAAGTACATGGAGTTTGACCTGAACAATGAAGGCGAGATTGGTGAGTGTGATCTTGAGGAGTGTGTGTCTGGGGAGGGAGGTGTTAGGTGTGGGCAGAGGGTGTGAGGCTGAAGAGAGCCCCATCAACCCACCTTGTTGATGTAGGGTGGAGGAAACAGGGCTGTCCTGTAAGACTCACAGCTGAAGCTTCCCTGATGTGCCAGGCCAGCTGAGCCAGCGTATTGAGTTTTTAGAGGATTTCCAAATTTAACTATTATTAATAATTATGTGAGGAGCTCTGGTAGCATAGTGGCTAAAGCACTTGACTGCTAACCAGAAGGCTGGCGGTTCAAACCCACCAGCCACTCCTCGGAAGGAAGGTTGGGCAATCCTACTTCCGTAGTGATACTGCCTCGGAAACCCAAGGAGGGGTCGCTATGAGTCGGGGCCGACTCGACGGCACATAACAACAACAACAATAATTATGTGAAGAGCATCTTTGTACATGAATCTTTGTCTGCACTGGAGTAAATCCCAGGAATTAGAAGTTCTGGGTCAGAGGCTTTGAAGTATCTTGCCAAATTGCCCTCCAGAAAGGTCGCACCAATTGAGAGTCAGGCCAGCAGCTGGGGAGACCTTACACTCCTTCCTGGAGAACATTGCCCAGCTTTCTTTGAAATGCCCTGACATCCTGGCACCTAGGAGTCTGGCCTCAGTTTTGCCCAGCCTCCTTTTGGGTGAGCGCTGGCCTCACCACCACTCCCCTCAGGCCTTAAACTAGACCCCCTTCCCACTCTGCTTCAGCTCCCTTGCTAATCCATTGTTCCTTGAAGAACAATCTGAAGGAAATTGCCTCAGATCTTGGCAAGAGAGGGAGCTCAGAGCAGTAGCTCCAAAGGGTGTAGTGACTTTTGGGTGCCTCCCTTGTTTTTCTTGAATTTTATTTTGTTGGTTTTCCTGCTTTGCAGGATTCTTTGGCACCCTCTGCCTTCCAGCCAAGCAGACTGCAGGGGGGAGTGGCAGGTGGGAAAAAGCTGCCTCCTGGAGCCCTGGAGAGTGGCTTTTATTGTCTGGGGTCAGGCTACTCCCTGTCCCCACCTCTCTGCCTAGTGACTTTTCACTGGAGGCAGTGGGCTAAGCTCATCCTCACCAAACGAGTAGCAGAGAGGGCAATAACAGTTGTCAGGCTCTCTTCAGGAGTCCCTGAGTGGCACAGACAGTTAAGTGCTTGACTACTAGCAAAATGGGTGATGGTTCGAGCCTGCCGAGAAGAGCCTGAGAAAACAGGCCTGGTGATCTGCCTCTGAAAGGTCACAGCCTTGAACACCCTATGTTGTTGTTGTTGTTTGTTATGTGCTGTCGAGTCAGACCTGGCTCATAGTGACCCCTCCTTGGGTTTCCAAGCCTACGGAAGTAGATTGCCCCATCTTCCTTCCAAGGAGTGTCCAGTGGGTTTGAACCTCCAGTCTTCTGGTTAGCAGTCAAGTGCTTTAGGCACTACACTACCAGAGCTCCTTGAACACCTTATAAAGCAGTCCTATTCTGCACAGATGGGTCTCCATGAGTCAGAATTGGCTAGATGGCAACTAACAACGACTTTCTTACTAAAAACCTGCTGTTTTATTATTATTATTATTGTGATTTTGGTGAAAGTTCATAGAGCAAACTCACTTTCCATACAGCAGTTCACACACATTTTGTTTCAAGACATTGACTGCAATTCCCTACAGTGTAACAGCTCTCTTCCCACTTCCTCCCTGTAGTTGCCTCTTCCCTGGGTCCTTTTCCCTGGGTCCTGTTCCCTCTTGTCCTTTCCTATGCATTCCTGCCCCCTTGAGGCCCTGCTCTTTGCCAGGCACTTCACCAACTAGTCCTTCTGACTGATCCCATCACCCAACTGATAGAAGCAGAGATTTAGAGAGCTACAGTGGTTTCCGCCAGATTCCATAGCCTCAAAACAACAACAGCAAAAAACCAAATCCATCATTGCCTTGAAGTCCTTTCTGACTCAAGGTGACTCCCCTGTATTACAGAGTAGAATTGCTCTGTAGGGTTTCCTTGCTTGTTATCTTTATGGAAACAGGCTTTTCTTCCATGGCTCTGCTAGGTGAGTTCAGACTTTAGTTTAGTGGTCAAATGCAAATCGTTTGTGCCACCTAGGGACCTACATCCAGGAACAGCAGAGTTGTGTGTATCTGACTAGAAGCCCTTGATCCTAACCAGTAGATGATACTGCCTCCAAAGGGAGCAGGGAGAAGGAGGTTCTCTCCACGAGTTCATCTCTCTGCCTAGCTTCTCCTGGACTTGAGGGGCCCCGAGTGGAGCTTTTGCCGCCTTCCCCACCTGACCCCAGCAGCCAGTCTACACTTAATAATCTGCTTTTCCCTACTGGTAGACCTGATGTCTTTAAAGAGGATGATGGAGAAGCTTGGGGTCCCCAAGACCCACCTGGAGATGAAGAAGATGATCTCAGAGGTGACGGGTGGGGTCAGTGACACCATCTCCTATCGAGACTTTGTCAATATGATGCTGGGGAAACGGTCGGCTGTCCTCAAGCTGTGAGTACCTTCCTGCCCTCGCCCAAGATCTACAGCCTTGGAAACCCTGTGGGGCAGTTCTACTCTGTCCTATGTGGTTCCTATGAGTCAGAATCGACTCGACGGCAAAAAGTTCAGGATTTGGTTAAGTAGGGCAGTGGCAAGGTCAAGTTTGCATTTAAAAACTGTCTCCTAAGCAGAGCCATGGCTCAGTCTTGCTCTACCTACACCAGGCAGAGTGGGCAGGGGAAAGCATATGGTCTACACATCAGAGGTTTGGAGTTTCCTTCTGCCCCTGCCTTGGAGTACATATGTGGTTCTGTGAAATCAAGTCGCCATTTTGCACCTCAGTTTTCTCCTCTGTACAATGGGCTGAGCAGTATCTTCTGTGGAGCCATTGCCCTGGGCTTCCATAAGATCCCACTGGAGAATGAATTCAAGGGCATTCTGTTGAGGACCCTGCAGACTTGAAGGCTGGATGATCTTTCTCTGGATAAGGGAAGGAGTCCTAATTCTTTTTGCTGTATTTTGTTTTTCTCTACCTACAAACCAGAGTCATGATGTTTGAAGGAAAAGCCAACGAGAACAGTCCCAAGCCAGTTGGCCCCCCTCCAGAGAGAGACATTGCCAGCCTGCCCTGAGGACCCTGCGTGGACCTTCCCTGCCCTCCGTGACCTCCCCACTCCTGCTCCTCTTTCCATCTCTCCTTGTGATTTGTCTTATTTGTTTGTTTGGTCATTGTGGGTTTGTTTGTTTGTTTCACTGGACAGAATCAGTGATCTTTTTGTAAAGCACAAATTATCTGCCTTAAAGGGGCTCTGGATCATGGAATCCTGAGTCTTTGGTCCCATCTCTTTGCCATCCTTCTATTCTCCTTCTGCAGAAGGACTGACATCAAACCAAAAACCACAGGGCCTGGAAGAAGGCCACAGCCTGAGCAGGGAGGCTGGGAGCCTTTGTTCCTCATCCTTGGAGCTGGCACCTTCCAGGAGGTTATTGAGCTCAGGCTTACTGGCCTGACCCTTGTGAGGACCCAGTCCATTTTCAGAAGGCCCTGGGGTTGGGACAAGGCTGTAGGGCCTTGTGAGGGTTTCCTTGAGCAGCTCTGGGTTTCCTGTGTTCTTGGCTTAGCCTGGCTTCCCACCAGCCACACCATGCCCAGCCACCCCAGCTGTTCTCCACTCAGTCTATGCCTCTTATCCTCAGTTAGGAGCCTCAAACTGATGACTAGAGGAGGGGAAAAGGAGTTTGCAATTTGAGCCCTTTGAGAAAACACCAGATGGAACCCTCTGGCCATGCACCCAGCAATGACCACACCTTTACAGGCAGCTTGGAGGGAGGGTGCAGTCCCACAGGACCTTGCTGGGGCAGGAAAGGGTTTTGGAGGGAGAGGTGAGGCCAAGGGCTTTGCGGGAGGGGCAGGTCAGTCCACTCTTACATTTTAGGGAGGACGCTGAGGGCACAGGACAGGATAATAGGGAATAGAATGTCTGTGGCACAAAGAGTCAGCCCCACTGTTAAACCAAGAGCTGTCTTTCTGATCCCAATCTACTTGAAACCTGACTACTTTTCCCTCATTTGTCTTCCCACCCTACTCACACCACTCACTCATTCAAAAGATATTTATTGACCACTTGTGATAAGCTTTAAGCCTTTCCCCTTTATCTTGACAGATTCTGTGTTGGCTGTCTCTCTAAATCATCTCTCCTTTTCCGAATTACCAAAACCTTGAGCTTTGGAATTAGATTGGGGATACCTGTGTCCTTTATAATAGACTCACAGGAATTAAGAGTCCCAATCCACAGGTTAACTGGGCCTCTCATGTCACAACTGAGAACACTGGTTGGCTTATAGGGATCGATTTCCTTGCCCAAGGTCAAAGGGTTAATTTGGAGATGGAAGGATCTGGATTGGAGCTCAGGTCTTCTGATCTCCTGCCCATGACTCATCACTGGGCTGCCTCAGTTGTGGAAACAGGGAAGGAATGGGAAAAGGCAGTCTCCTAGGTCAACACTTGGATAAGACTTTCCTTGCTTTGAAGGCCCTGGAACAGGAGTGACTCCCCAGCACCTCCAAGTCAGCAAGGGTTTGTATAAGGCCCAGGCCTGTCTCCGCCTGTCCCAGAGCCTCCTGTCCAAGCCTCAGAAGGCAGCTTCTCAGAACTCATGCAGGCAGGTGTTAGACTTGGCGCCTTCTCATTTGAGCAGGGGGTCTCAGCCTTGACCCTGCCTGTGTTCTGAAGTCCCTTACCTCTCATCACAAAGGACTTGGATGCACTTATTCTTTGAACATATTTATTAAGCACCTGGTATGAGCCAAGACCTAAGAATCCAGCAGTAAAATACTGACTCATGGAATTGAGACTCCAGCAGGGAATCAGATTCAGACAATGACATGCAAGATGAATACTAGGAAAGGGAGGACACAGGGGTGACTGACCTGCAATCCTGGAAGAATAAACTGGGCCCAAGACAGCAAGAATCTTAGAGAAGCCTTTGTAAAATCTTAAGTAGGCAGGTCAGGGGCTGTTGGAGTTTGGAGCCAGAATGGACATCCTGTGGCTCCTTCTTATGTGCCGTTGAGTCAGACCCAACTCATAGCAACCCCTCCTTGGGTTTCTGAGGCGGTATCACTATGGAAGTGGATTGCCCAACCTTCCTTCTGAGGAGTAGCTGGTGGGTTTGAACCGCCAGCCTTCTGGTTAGCAGTCAAGTGCCTTAGGCACTATGCTACCAGAGCTCCCTTAGTGACTCATAATTAAGGACCCAATGTGCTCTTATAGCAGCTTGAGAGAGGGTAAGGCAAGAAGGTGGTAGGAAAATGGCCAGGGTGGGTTGGTCCACTGGTCTCAGCCAGTTCAGGCACAAGACTATTTGGCCATGACTGGTTGGTCTTCAGCCTAAGAAGCTGTTTCAAATGGACCGGCTGAGTTGAAGTTTAACATTCCAGTAAAACATTCTTCTCTGTAAATGTAAAATCCCACTCCTCCCTCTGCCTTTTTTTTTTTTCTCCTCCTGAGATTAGCAGCTGCCTGATCCCATGCCTTCTCACTGCCTCTCCTCTTTGGGACAGGTTGGGACCCCTGAGCAAGGTTAAAACTTTCCTGGCCACTCATCATATTCAGTGTACCTGTTCCTCAGAGAGGAAGACAGAACCAATCAGGCTTATTTCAGTGGGTTCCACAGCTTACAAGACCATGGGAAGCTTCTTTAAGGAAGGAAAGGAAGCTGGTGTGTTTCCAGCTTTTGGAAAGGGGAAGGGAAAGTGTTCTTACTGAGTGGAGGTTATCTTAGAAAACCCCACCAATTCCTTTGCCACTTCTTAGAACTCACCCCTTGGGGGAAAGGGTCTCCAGAGTGTTCCTTGAAAAGGGGGTCTGCATGTATTTCAGGTTGTGGCTATTGGTTCTAGGATGCTTACATCTCTGGCTAAAGGCTCAGTTTCTTGGTACTTCTGCTGTCTTATTTCTGAAAGACCAAATCTATCTTGGGGACTGCCAATTATGGCTTTGTCCCTATGACTCAAAAGGAAGGAGTTTATTGGGCAAATTCAGATGAATGAAGTATGTGTGTGTGTGCATATGTGAAGTGTGTGTGTTGTGAGATATCATCTCTACAGATTGGAAATAAATCAGATGAACTTATCAATGCTTTGATTAGTTTATTTTTAAGAGTGTTCTTGAGCTCAGCAAATTTAGAACTAGCTAATATAGTCACAGATTGAATCAGTGTGTCCTAGCTGTCAGGTGACTTTAATCCTCACAACCACCCCTGTGAGATAGGTTCTTTCATTGTCACCCTTTTACAAATGAGAAGCAGACTTGGAGCAGGTAAGCAGTTTGATGAAAATCTTACTTTTAAGTGGCAGAATATGCTCCCTTGGAGCTTACCCCTGGGCTTCAAGTTAAGAATTGTTATAGAGCATTTATAACGCCACCACAAAAAGTTCTACAATTAAGAAACCAAACTCACTGCTGTGGGATCCAACTCAGGGACCCCTCCTTGGGTTTCCCAGAAGGTATCACTGCAGAAGTAGATTGCCCAACCTTCCTTCTGAGGAGTGGCTGGTGGGTTTGAACCGCCTGCCTTCTGGTTAGCAGTGAAATGCCTTAGGCACTACACTACAAGAGTTCCCAAATAGGACTGTGTTAATAATTAAAAGCACAGCCAGACAATCTGAACTCTAATCCCGCCTCCAACACTTCCTGGCTGCGGGTCACTGGGGGAATTTTCTTAACGTCTCTTTACTTCAGTTGTCTCATCAATTAAATGGCAATAATAACCCCTTAGGTGGCTAGGATGTCTTAAAGATTAAGAGAACATCTAAAAGGTTTTGTACAGAACTTGGCACAGATTCTTCTGTGACCGGACGTGGATATGGCTCTTGAAAGGGGTAAGCAAAGCTGATCTTTGGTGTCGTTTAAGCTCCTCTTTAAGGGGCTCTGGTAGCGCTGTGGTTAAAGCATGGAGCTGCTAACCAAAAGGTCAGTGTTCGAACCCATCCGCTGCTCCTTGGGAGAAATTCTGATCCTATGGGACAATTCTAGCCTGTCCTATCGGGTCGCTATGAGTCGAAATCGATTTGATGGCAATCGGTTTGGTTTTGGGTAACCTCCCCTTTAAGCTCTCGTCCTTAGACACGGAAGGGTCTCCTGTGGCAAGGGCCCACCCACCCGTTTTCAGAACTTCTCTTATCTTTCCCTCCCCCAACAAAGCCTCTCTCAAGAGCCGCCCCTGGAAATATCTGACAAGTTCCTAACTGACATCTCTGCATTGGGAACAATAACCACCTACGTCCAAAGGTTATTGTGAAGTTTCAATGGTACCAAGTGAGTCCATAAGCAACGCAGCGGTGTCCGACGTTCCAGACCGCAGGCTTGTGGACCCCTGAGTCACTCCCCCTACTCAGCCAGTCCGCCAATGGGAGGCGGTAGTCAGGGAAGCGCGCGGCTTCAGGCCGACCCTTAGTTTCTGTCGATCACAAAGCAGACTGGACGTGTGACGTCATCAAAGCGCGCAGGCAACGTGATTTCCGCTGCGCGCTACTATCTCTGAGGAAAGAAAGCTGGTCTTAGAGCGGCCTGTGCTCTGTGGGCAAGGCTGAGGGCGGCAGCGAAAGCTGCTTGGACAAACTGAGTGCGGCGCGATGGGAGACGAAATGGATGCGATGATCCCGGAGCGGGAGATGAAGGTCAGATACTGGTCAGGGGCTCCCTCCCTCCCTTAATTCTGGCCTTGTCTTGGAGACCCGCTGAAAGGCAAAGCGCGGGTGCCGGCTGCCCCGCCTCCGGGTTGAACAGTTACCGCGTTCAGAGTTCTCACTAGCATTGTTCTGGAGCTCTCTGCCTTGCTGCCTGCGTGGTAGCACCACAGAATGAGTTTCCCTGGCCTTGGTTGGTGTGCGCATTTTTCTTGAGTTATCCTAGCTACTTTCATGTGGTAGTCTGAGTAGTGGTAATAACTGTTTATGAGCGTTTACTGTCTGCCGGGTGGCAGGTGTTTAAGCATTATGTCCCTGAATTATCACAACAGCCTTACGAAGTAGTTGTTCGTATCATTGTTCTACCGAGGAGAAAAGCAAGGCTCGGGAAGTAACTTACCCAGTCACCAGTCTACGTTTATTTAAGATTTTCACTTCACTC